TCATTTTTGATACTATTTAAGTGACAACAAACATAATCAAACATATTTTGTACTTTTAGGGTAAAGTACAACCACACTCCATGAGATTTGGCAAAAGGATACTCAGATGAAACTTACCTGTTTTTTTGGATAAAGACAGCACTGAAGGTTTAAAAATGGACAAAGATACCCCTTTACATAAGAAATCGACCAAATTACCATTTAACCGTTTAGGAGACTTTTTTAACTTCACAATTTTATAAATTGGACCAATCTACCCTTATGAATAATTTATGCATTAAAAAAAAAAAAAGTGACAAAAAAAAAACCTTATATTGTTCATTTTTTTTTTTTTTTTTTACTTTATAAATGTCCCAACTACTTAAAAATGCAGATGTCTAAAATGATTTTTTGATTCAATACATATATTTCAAATAAATTATATTTTGTTATTACTTTTTTCTTTTTCTTTTTTGTTTTTAAATTAAGATGCTTAATTATTTCATCTAAAAAAAATTAAACCAATCCCTCTTTCTTAAAAATAAAAAATATGATACCAGTATAACTTTATGTATCTTAAATTAATACTATGCATTTTCTAACATAAAAGGAAAAAAAATAATAATAAAAAAGGGAAAAATAATAATAAAACAAAGGGGAAAATAATAATAAAACAAAGGGGAAAAAAATAAAAATAAAGGCATGCATAAAGTTATACTAGTACCTATTTTTTTTTATGTTGGGAAATGTATAATATTTGATATATAATTTAAGATACATAAAGTTATACTGGTACCATATTTTTTATTTTTAAGAAAAAAAAGATTGGTTTAATTTTTTTAAATGAAAGAATTAAGCATCTTAATTTAAAAATAAAAAAAGAAGTAATGACAAAATATAATTTATTTAAAATATATGTATTGAATCAAAAAATCATTTTAGACGTCTACATTTTTAAGAAGTTGGGACATTATAAAGTAAATAACAAAAAAAAGAAGAAAAAAGAAAAAGATGAACAATATAAAGTTTTTTTTTTTTTTTTATGCATAAATTATTCATGAGAGTAGATTGGTTCAATTTATTAAATTGTAAAGTTAAAAAAATTTCATAAACTGTCAAAGGGTAATTTGGTCAAATTTTCATGTAAAGGTGTGTCTTTGTCCATTTTTGAACTTTTAGGGGGTGTCTTTGTCTAAAAAATAGGTAAATTTTTCCTAAGTGTCCTTTTGCCAAACCTCAAAAAGTGTAACAGTACATTACCCGTACTTTTATTTCGCTGCACTGCTACAACAGTACACTAACGAAAATAAAAAAATTAGCCGAGCATGCCATAATCCCGACTATGTTATTATTTTTCTTGAAACTTCGCGAGTCATTCACTCGCTTGGAATAGTCCTTAATTTATATAAACAAATTTTATTTTATTTTATTTTATTTTATTATTATTATTTTTTTCACCCACTAGTGCGTGCAAAGAATATGATCCAGCGCTTAGTTTGATGGCTTTAAATGAGCTGAAGCTCAAGGTTGGTGCTTAATTGGAGGAATTTAAAGAGAACACGTTGCTGTCACTCATGTGCTGCAATTCAAAACCAACTCATACTTGTGCGTCAAGACTTTACTTATAGCTAATAATAATCACTGTAGAGAAAGTCAACTATTGGCAATAAGTAATGCTAGAACTTGCAAGTTGCAATGTATGCGGAGTGATTCAGAATCAACTGGAATTTCCTGTGGACTTCTTTCATAACCAATGGGATGATTGCATTGACAATTAACTGTTTTATAATTGATTTATTTGTGCTTAAGTTAAATAATTAATTAAAATAAAAAATTAGATTTAAAGACATTTTTACCCACTATAAACTTAATCCATTATGCTAACATTGTTAACTAATTATCAAAAGGCTTTTGGCCTAATGGTATAGCATTCCCATCTTCAAAGAGGAGGAAAGGAGAGGGGTTCAAACCCGAGCATGGACAAAAAAGTGTGTGTGTGTGTTTGCTTTATCATCCAAAAAAAAAAAAAATCATTGCTAATTAGTTTATTTAGTTTTGTTTTACTTTTTTTTATTAGCTTTCATAGTAATTGACTTTATCTTTTACTTTCTTTTGTCTTTATATATATTTTTAAAAAATAATAATAATAAATTAATTAATTAAATGTGCAATGAGGTTGTGTATAGGTTAAATGTAATAATAAAATTTAGCAAACATAATATGTGAAATAATGAGTTAACATCATGACTTAGAGAATAGTTTTGAAAAAAATAAATAAATAACACAAATGTTAAAGGAAATTGGTGTGAACATAAATCAAATAGAAAATAAGAAGTATTCCGAGAGATGGAATAAATCATATTACATATTCATCAACTCTCTCTTTATATATAATCTTGAGTTCAGCTTATAATAATAAATGTCATGCCTGATGCAAAGTGAAGAAAATGCAACTAGCTATAGAATATTGGAATATGTAGGATTGAATGAATTAGTTTTAGTTAACGAATTGAGTTAAGAAAAGGAGAAGGAAAATAGAATGAAAGAGAAAAAGAAAATGTTTTTCAAAGGAATGCAAAAACCTTTTTATATGAATATGGGTTATAACAATCATATTAGAGGGTACTTTCAAAATTAATAAAAAATTATCAATCATGTGTATTACAATATGAACCAAAAATGATTGGAAGTGAAATATATAAGTTGTTCACTTCTAAAATTATAAATCAAGATTGAGTAAAGAAAGTTAAATCGATAATGTTACCATAAAAATAGTCCATTACACTATTCAAATGATACACTTATTTTGCAAAGAACAAAAATACAAAAAGTAGACACTTGTATTGAGATCAAAGGAGTAATACATGAAACATAAGTAAAATTATGTCTCGTATGCCCCGTAGGAACACAGATATGGCGTAGTGTCAAAGGCTCTAAGCACAATATGGTAGTATGTAATACAGGATGTGTGTGTGTGTGTGTGTGTGTGTGGAGGAAGTTCTTTCACTCATGTGCTTTTGTCTGACTTGTATAGTAGTATAATTTTGGGTACACAACAAAAACCATTCATGTGCCCTCTGAAGAAGAGTTCCAGTAATTGAAGGAATTAAAAGGGATGTAGTGATACGATGGAATTATTTTATATTATTTTAACAATCCTAACAGGGTTATTTTCATTGGTTGTTATTCAACTGTTAATTCTTTAATGGTTTTAAATTAGAAATAAAACAATTCAGTCAATGTCAAACCATATACAGGCATATATATATATATATATATATATATATATATATGAGGTGTTTTCTCAGGAAACAAACACTAAATTGGAAAATTGAATGGGAAAGTGGAAAGGACGTGGTGGGTGGGTCCAGGGAGGTGTTAACTTGGCACATGCACTCTCCTTGCAGTGCGTCCAGACAAAATCACCCCCACCAGCCAACCCTAAAATCACAAGCATGTGGGACTCCGCCCCTTCAATTTTGGTACGCGTGGACCCCGCCACCGACACCAACACTTATTTTTTTCCCTCTTCATTCTCAGTTATATTTCACCAACTAGTCAAAAAAATTTATCATCAAACCCTACTTCTCTCTTTAAAAGTATAAATAAATCATATGAACTTTTTTTATTTATATTTTTTAGGACTAATAAGTTCTATTATTGATTTAAAAAAAAATTAAAATCAAAATTATTAAGAATTTATTTGGTACGCGTTTTGTTTTAACGCATAACAAAATAATAAGTGTTTTGTTGTAAAATATTTTAAATAGTAATAAATAATATGTTTAATTATTTATTTATTGCAAGATTTTTAAAAGTAAAAGTATGAAAATATGTTTGGTTAAAAAAATGTTGCATGTTTAAAAATTATAATGGTTAGTTTAAAAACAACAAATTGATTTTTTCGAGTTTTGGCCATTATTCACTAAATTTTTGACACTATGCAAAATAAAATATATTTTTTTTCAAATGCGTTTTTTCAAAACTTGTACCAAATAGGCCATAAATCTCTCATTATTAAATTAGCTATAAAATTTAGAAAAATGATTATTGCCCCCGATTTGTTGTAGTGGATTGTCAATAAATAAGGAAGTGAGACCATTTACTTACTTGTATTATGCATAGATAATCAATAGAAAACTTTCAGTTATGTAATTCACTACAATAAGTTGGTGCAAGTATACACTAATATAAAATTTAACTAAGAAGAAAAGAGAGCATTTTAATTTTTTAAAATAAAATAAATAATTTTTTGTGTAATAAATTCATCTTGAATTGTACATAAGATTTTTTAATTAAATTTAGATTAAATTAATTATTATTTAATTCATAATGCAATATTTATTTATTAATTAAAAATGAAGGGAATATATATAAAAAATTAAAATCTATATCAATTTTTTCAGTTTATAATTATAAAATTTTGCTTTCACGTAATAATAGTAGATTTAAAAATTTCTCCCCTCCCACAAAAAGTGCTCTTTTTCGGAATATAAATGTCGTTTTAAATGTTTTTTTAAATTATTATTGTGGTGATATGTATTGAATTTTTAAATATACCCGTCGAGTTCATTGTTTTAATAACTTCAAAGTAAAAGAATAAATTAGAAATATTAAAAAAAAAAATAATACATTAAATTTTGAATTAAAACAATTATTTCAAAACAACAAAAAATAAATAAAAAGGTTTATAGTTTTTGTGAGACTAAAAAAGTAATCATACTACAAACAGAGGACAACGAAAATATGAACTAAACTTCAAAAGGAGGCGGTGAACGCAAATATGAACTAAACTTCTAAAGGAGGCTTATGTTCCAAAAGCATTTAATTAATTTTTACTCAATCCAAAAGTAGAATGTTGGAGTGTTCAAACTTCACAGGTGAGTGTGCCATTTTATATATTTGTCAAAATAAAAAATTAAAAAATTTATTACTAATTTTTATTTTTATTTATTTTGCATTGAAGTGGCCACTAAAATAGTCTGTACCGCACTTTAAATATGCCATCCCTCATCATTCACTTTCCTCCCACCCCTCCCTTTACATTCACAATATCCCACCCCCTTTTAAATTCTCTCCCAACTCCAACCTCTACATTACTAGTACTAGTAGCTAGAATTAAGAAGATCGAGATCACACAACCAAATTCTTATTACCATTTCTCTCTGTTTCTCTCTCCTAAAATGCCGCGAAATTTAGCGGCGGCTTTCTTCTTATACATTGCGGCACTGGTTGCTGTTTTCGCCATTGTTGGAGCTGAGGATCCCTACAGATTTTTCAACTGGAATGTCACCTTCGGAGACATATATCCACTCGGTGTTCGCCAACAGGTTGGTAAATCGTTAAGCTATCTTAGCGGGTGTGTCAGAATTCGAGTCCTCCTTTCTCCCTAATTGTTAGGAATATATATATATATATATATATATATATGGATGATATATGTAATTGGTCATCTGATGCATTTGTTGTTTTTGTAAACTATGTAGGGAATTCTCATCAATGGTCAATTCCCCGGCCCTGATATTCATTCTGTTACCAATGACAATCTCATTATCAATGTCTTTAACAGCCTGACTGAGCCTTTCCTCATCTCCTGGTAACAATCTCTCTCTCTCTGTGTCTATATATATATATATATATATATATATATATCTATATAATACACATATGGCCACTACTTGTGATGATTTGCAAAGCTCAATTTTTACCCCCAAACAGTGTCGGTTTAAATTAGGAGTAGATCTATGAAGAGAGCTCTCTGATTGCCCTTTTCAATTCAATGTCTTGAGAATGCAACACTATCTTATAGTGTTTTCCCTTCTAACTCATCAAATTGAAAAGCTCACTCTCTTCTCTCTTTACCAATGAAAAAAATACAATACTTTATGTTCGAGAGTTTTGAATTCACATGAAAAATTTACTTTCAAAATTGAATTAAATTTATTCTAATTTAAATTTTAAAATGCATATTTGGTGATTCCACCACCATATCAATCAATACTGTGATTTAGGTATAATTTGAATTTTAATTTAGGTATAATGTGAATTTTTTAAAATGTGTTTGGTAGTATGAAATTAGAATTGGTAAAATTAAAAAAAAAAAAAAAAAAAAATAGTTCAATTTTTTTTAAAGTGCGTTTGACCGCATGAAATTGAAAGAAATTTTAATTTTATTTTGTGAATTATTTTATTCTAATTTTATAAATTTTAATTTCAAAACTTAAAACACAGCCTAATTAAATTTTTTTTTTTTCAAATTACATGGAATCCATTCAACCGACACACCGGCCAATACTTCTTGTTATATTAGTAGGTAGTATTTTTTTAAAATGTTGTTCATTCCTTTGGTGATGCTGTATAAAGATATCTGTCTCTTAAAAAAAGGAGGAGAGTGGTGTAAGTGGTGTTGGCCGCCTCTGCTTTAAAATAGTTGTGGCAGATAGTGAAAACATTGGCATGTGATCTGCTTAGATAAGACATACGTCACACAGTAATATAGTGGTGGGAGGTCTAGTATGAGGCTATGTGCCATCATCATATAAATTTGATAGTACAACAATTCCACGCCGTGCTCGACACTCAAAAACAATGAAAATGATGATGACATGGTTTGTCTTAGCTAGTGTGATCGACAATGCGTTTAGATCCAAGCATTGTGTGTTGTATTCGGTTCATATATGATATAACCAAGTAAGTTTGAGCACCATTAACGGCGAGACTGTTAATGAGCAACAACTTATGTGATCATCTTATGATAATCCATCCAAGCCTTCCTTGGAGAAAATTTCAAAGTGGGCCATATCACCATTAATGTTATCACATAGAACTATATTATATATATCCTTGCCCTCAAACTTATACCTATATTTGTGATCAAATTTATACATATATTTGTGATAATACTAGGGCATTCTTGGTATTTCAAAATTTTCATTAAACCTATAAAACAATGTTTAGTTTTTTTTTTTTTAATACTAGGGCATTCTTGGTACTTCAAAATTTTCATTAAACCTATAAAACAACGTTTCGGTTTTTTTTTTTTTCATAAAAAAAAAGAAGAAGGTTTTGGAGAAGCTCGGATCGTCAACTTTTCCAAAACCCTCTTCTGAGAGACACAGGTATATATATTTTTTATAAAATAAAAAAAAAAATTAATCAAACACTATTCAAAACACTTTTCAAATTTAGAATATGAGAGACGCGTGACTGTTGTACATAAATATGAGAAGCTTGAGATGGTTGGGATTAACTTAGTAGTGGTGGGGCCTCTCCTCCTATTAGTATTAATTACTCATTAGTGTAGGAAAATTGTAAGGTTAGGAATAGATGTGAATGTGATACATGCTTCCAAATTATAGTGCATTACAGATAATGATAGAGACTTTTAACTTGAATAATAGATAGACAAGGACACTTTAAAATGTCCTTGTCTAATTAGTTTGTATAAAATCGGAATGAAAATGCTTAAAATGTGTCCTTCAGAAACCGCACTGTAAAGCGTGCCCTTTAGGTTGAAAGCGACTTATCAATGGTGGTTTGATCAAATGGGCCTTATTGTAACACAACGTAAGGAAAGTTGTGGTCCTTCTCTGTCTACCTCTCCCAATCTTTGAGTCCCTGTGCTCCTTCCATTCATGGATTTAAATTATCTTCAAATATATATATATATATACACTTTTATGTCACACTCACACGCTCATTTGTCTATTACCTAACACATTTCAATAAAAATAGTGAAAAAAATAGTCTGGCTTGCATAATTGTCTCGGGAGGATGTAAAATTTGATTTAATGAATTGAAATATGTTTGTGGTGTGGGAAAATATAGGAATGGAATTCAGCAGAGGAGGAACTCGTTTGAAGACGGAGTTTACGGAACCACATGTCCCATACCTCCCGGGAAGAATTTCACATACATTCTTCAAGTGAAGGATCAAATTGGGAGCTTTTACTACTTCCCTTCCCTTGCATTCCACAAGGCCGCTGGTGGTTTCGGAGGCATCAGAATTCTCAGTCGCCCTAGAATTCCGGTTCCGTTCGCTGATCCTGCTGGCGATTTCACTGTTCTGATCGGAGATTGGTACAAAGCTAATCACACGGTAAGATATATACACACTTTTTTTGTTATTTATTTATGACAAACACTTCTCAATATGGTCAAGCCTCCGCTGTTATACTCGGCGACTTGCTCAGCTCAGGATGGGGAGACGTTGGAAGGGTCTGGGGTGGGGAGACGCCCTTCCTGGATTCTCGGAATTAGTTTGGGCGAAGCCTGAATACCTGAATTATCAAAAAAAAAAAAAAAAAAAATTCTCAATATGAAATAAGGAGAATGGGCTATTCAATACAAAAAGAAAATAACTTAGAATAAATATTTAACACGTTAAATCATGTAATAACCATATAACTTTATCTATTGCTTAATTTTTATTTTGACTTGAATAGCATTTTTCTTAAATGAACTTAAAATTCTTAAATACTTCTCTTCTGCGGAGATATAACATTCAAAAATTAAAAAAAAAAAAATACATGTACAACACACATAAAATATTCAAATGTATCCGAATTTAAAACTCCTTTTATCATTTTTCTCCCGCCCAAATAAAAAATAAATAAAAAAGCAATATAATGAATCGGAGTTTCGAACTCCTTTCATCATTTGTGTATCGGAGTTTCGAACTCCTTTCAACATTTAAGAAGGTGGTCGGTTGATGGGATCATACCTCAGAATCTCATTGTGGACTTGTGTCGGCAAACCATGTTAATGTGGGTCCTGTTTGGTGAGAAATAATTGACTTTTTCTATTCTACCAGCTAGTGACAGCTAATTATCTTGGTCGCACCCTCTAACCAATCCAAAAACACTTAAAATAATTATTTGTGGGGGAGTGACGGCTCAATCACAGACTTGTGACATTTGTATTCTATTAGGATCATCTAATGGTGCGCACTCTTCGTTACACAGTAGAAGTTTTTAATTCTATTGTCACACAAAAATTGGTATAAACCATTTATACATGCATCTCATTTTAGCAATGTTATACCTAAAATAGGTAATATTTTGTGATTTTCTTTTCCTGCAAGAAATTATTAATTAGTGTTAAGTCACAAGTTTTTGTTATTTTTCTCAAACAAATTTCTTCAAAAACTAAAATAAATTAAAATGATAAAAATTTGACTTAGAGATCTCTGGTGTCACATGAGACGTTAATTTTTTCCTCTCTATGATTCTTCATTCAAATCATTCGTGCTCGGTGCTGCAAATATTTTACTATTTATTTATTTACTTTTTTTCGTTTTAAAAAGAATGTCAACTTTTGAAAAACTATGACTCAAAAATTCAATTTCCCAAAAACAATATTTATTCAAAAATTCAATTTCCCAAAAACAATATTTATTTGATACTGAGGGAATATTTTTTATTAGAGGAGAAATAATTTCAATTAAAAAATATTTAAATTTAGTTGAGGGTATTTTTGCAATTTGCTTGACTGCATAAGTCCCACTGCATATAAAGCCTCTTTGGTAAGTAGGCAGTGTCCCAAATTTATGATATCACGTAGTTGCCTCATTGCAGTCGCTTTGATAAGTGTTAAGTAGGCAGTGTCCTAAATTTATGATACCACCTAGTTTCCTCATTGGGATGTACACCTAGCAATGCATTAACTGCTCGACTTTTAATATACAAAATATGCAACACATGGGCTGCCCATTCTTCTTTGGACTTGCTAAATTCTACACAGCCACACAGAAATTATTAGGTGGTCGGTAGCCACCATTTTTATTAATAAATAGTCCATGTAGCCATAGTCAACTTTTTCTTTTCAACATGTTATACTGTAACCGCAATTGATACCGATTGCTATGAATCATGCTCACCACATAACTATATATATATATACACACACAGATTATTAAAATGGGACAATCACAACGTCTCACATAAATAAATGCGATAGGTTGAGATGGGTAGAAATCACGTGATCCCGGAACATGTAACCAATCAATCAATAAATTTTAATTCCTAACGTGATTAACGTCTTATCTGGGAATGACCATGGTTTTATTATACACATCTATCTCTATGTAGACATTGAAGGGAATTCTTGATCGGGGCAAGAAGCTACCTTTTCCTGATGGAGTCCTCATCAACGGTCGTGGCTCTAATGGTTACTCTTTAACTGTCGAACAAGGTAAGTCTTCAATATAAAAACCTAACTTGCAAGTCTAATGCATCCGCTATTTAATGTGATTGGACGATGACATCATCTCTCACTCACATAAATGCATGTAGACAAGTCTGATTTTTACTCATTATCACAGCTCAAAAAAAAAATAAAAAACTTGAACCCTCTTACTAATGTCTAACCATAAGTTGTGTTATCTAAACAGGAAAAACTTATAGGCTCAGAATATCAAATGTGGGATTGCAAAATTCGCTCAACTTCCGGATTCAAAACCACAAAATGACATTGGTGGAAGTGGAGGGAACACACTCTCTCCAAACTACTTACTCTTCACTTGACGTTCATGTCGGCCAGTCCTACTCGGTTCTAGTTACAGCTGATCAACCTGGTCAGGACTACTACATTGTTGTGTCCACCCGCTTCACCACTCAGATCCTCACAAGCACCGGTGTTCTTCACTACAGCAACTCTGCTGGACCAGTCTCTGGCCCACCCCCGGGCGGACCTACAATCCAAATCGATTGGTCCCTCAACCAAGCCCGTTCCATAAGGTACAATTCTTACCTACATACATTTCTTTTCTTATTAATGATACGGTTGATACCCTAAGAGGTGACTAGGGAAAGGGAAAGCTAACCGTACAAGAATCTTCTTTAGATGCACTCAAGTGGACTCCAAAACGTGGAGCCTTTTTCGGCTTTCCCTTTCATTACCATCTCTTCAAAACGAGTACCATTTTCCTTTAAAAAACAAGAAGTTTATTTTATGCTAATATATATTGATCTCCATTTGTGTGTGTTTCAGGACTAATCTTACAGCAAGTGGACCGAGACCTAACCCGCAAGGTTCTTACCATTATGGGCTAATAAACACGACCAAGACCTTCAGGCTCAGCAACTCTGCCGGTCAAGTGAATGGCAAGCAGCGATATGCAGTTAACAGTGTATCTTTCGTGCCAGCAGACACTCCTCTAAAGCTTGCAGACTACTTCAAGATCGGAGGAGTATTTCGGGTTGGAAGCATATCTGATAACCCTACCGGTGGAGGTATATACCTTGACACATCAGTTTTGGGCGCGGACTACAGAGCATTTGTTGAAATCGTGTTCGAAAACCCTGAGGACATCATTCAAAGCTACCACCTTGATGGCTACTCTTTCTTTGTAGTAGGGTACGTAAGCACCAAAATCTCCGATCTCCACCTGTTGTTTACAAGTAGTTCCTTTCTTGAACTTGTTAATTAGTATCTATTCGTTTTGCAAAATGCAGAATGGACGGAGGACAGTGGAGTTCAGCTAGCAGAAACGAGTACAATCTCCGGGATGCAATTGCACGTTGCACCACTCAGGTAATGTGAAATAAGCTCATGAAATACATGTTTGGATTCATAGAAATGTGACGAAGAATTGTTTGATTGAAAATGGTACGTAATTGAATGTGGCAGGTGTATCCCAAATCGTGGACTGCCATTTTAGTGGCTCTTGACAATGTGGGAATGTGGAACTTGAGGACGGAGTTTTGGGCACGACAGTACCTCGGACAGCAACTGTATCTGCGTGTTTTCACAACCTCAACTTCACTCAGGGACGAGTACCCCATTCCAAAGAACGCACTTCTTTGTGGCAGAGCGAGTGGGCGGCGCACACGACCGCTCTAGGCCACCAACAAATTGTAAAACTTCCACGGTATGCAGGCCGGGCAAAACTTGTCTAGCTTAGGAGGATTACTGAGTAGAGTTCTATTTATTGGGTACTATATCAGTACCAATGCAAAATTGAGGAGCATGTATGACTGCAACTTTAGATGACCTTACCTCAAGGTCACATTCTTTTCTACTAAGGATTGTATTTCTTTTTTTTTATTATTTTTTTCATTTTTTTTGGGTAAGTAATATTGTTATTGTTGTTGTTGATATTACTATTATTACAGTATTGTTTATTTGTTGCATTATTTGCATAATGTGTGACACAAAATTATCAACTTGTTAATCTGATTTGAAAAAAAAAAAAAAACGAGACAAATTTTGTAGAGAGAGAAGATCTTGACCCTTGAATAGACCTGTCAACTGATCGGGTTCGGATTCGATTCGAATCCGACAAACGTATTGAGCGATCCGATCCGATAATACAACGGATTCTTACATCGGCAATCCATATCCGATAATCACCTTATCGGACGCCTGATCCGATTATAAGCAGTAGCCTTTTGCAGTTTACACGAACACAAATCAAGCAAATTGATTAGAAGTAGGGTTAAAAAAGAGAGATATTGAAATAGTTTCGGAAACATATAACTAAGATTTGCATTAACGGGAGAAATAGAAAGAGGAAGACGAAAATAGGAAAACTTTGAAACAATTTTTGCTTTGAAAAATGGAAAATTAGGGCATGTAATAGAGAAAGGAAAAGAAAAAGGAAAGAAAATAAGTATCAGGAAGGTACTCTACAAGGATTTGATAGCCAATCGTTGGCTCCTTGGCTTCTCCTTCCACTTCTGCCATCAATGGATGACTTCCCCTTCACCTTTGTTTCTCTCCAAGTCTGGAAGCACGATAAAGCCTTATTATATGTATGCTTCTGGAATTTTTTTCCTATTTCTTCAATTAAGTGAATTACATTAGGAGAATAATAGTATGTGGTCAAGAACACCTTACTATCATACATTTAACATTGTAATTGATTTACATCTTTACAAATCTGACCTTGATACACAATATATATATATATATATATATATATATATATATATATATATATATATATATATATATAATATAAATAATTATATATTATTTTAATCGGATGGGATCATTAACGGATTGGATCAGCTCAAATCTATATTCGATTTGTTAAGTTAACGGGTTATCGGATTCAGATCATTATTGGGTTATCGGATTATTTATTCAATTCATATCCGGTTAATGGGATCGGATTCGGATCCATTAACAGGCCTACCCTTGATGAACCAAGCTCTTACGTGGAATGACTGGTAGAGTCTTAAAAGTCGAGAGGTGATGTAGTGGAAGTTAGGTTTGTTCATAAAGAACAATAAATTATCTTGAATTCACAAAGTAAATGATAAATTCAGAAGAAAAAAAAAAATCTGATATTATATTGATGATTAAATATATAAAAATTAATTATGTTCATTGCAGTATTTATAATAAAATAAATCATAACACCAAAAAGAAACTAAAACCATAAACAAACCTAATAACAAAAGGAAAATAATTCTTAAGAAAATTAAGTAAAATTAAACTTACTATAAATATTATAAAAAAGAAAATAAATAATAAATATAAATAATAAAAATTACTAAATAGAACAAAATTCCATACCAATGACTTGACCTTGATGCTGCAAAAGCTTCTTCAATCATGACATTGAAAAATCCACACTTCAAAAATAGCATGGTTTGTCCGGATAAAAATCATCTCCATTCGCATCTCACTGAACCGGTCCAGTGCTGGGCCCCTCAGCTGATGTGGCAAAGGAGGTAAATTGGGTAGTCACTGTAGTTTTGCTTATACCATTTCTGTACATATTTCTACCTTTTCTGTATGCCCACTCTGTACCCTTTCCCTTTTTGTATTTCATTTTCAAGTTAAAATTCCCCCAAAAACCAAAATTAAGGTTGCCCCCAAAACTGATCTGATATATATATACAGATATATGCCTCTGCTCTGCTCTATAAACCAAAAACACAGATATATGCCTCTGCTCTGTAAACCAAAAACTCTCTTCAAGAACTGGTCAAAAACTCTCTGTTTAGACACATAAAGATGAAGATACATTAGACACATAAAGATGAAGATTTATGAAGAGAAGGTCCCTGTTTAGACACATAAAGATTTTTGAAAAGAAGGACCTTGTTCAAAAGCTCCGTTCAGAAAAATCACCATACATTCTGGCGAAAAGCTAAACTTCCGATCATCCCTTCCGACGAGAAGCTAAAGCTGCGATCATCCATTCCAGTAAGAAGGTGAAGAATTCCAGCAAAGAAGGTGAAGGTCTGATCATCCATTCCGGTGATCAGCTGAAGTTTCGATCAACCAGTCCGACGAGAAGCTCTGATCATTATAAGTATTAGGTTATTATTTTGAATTTCTTGTAACTTTATTCATAATGATATATCAAATCCGGTGGTGATTATTGGTAATCCAAAAATCTGAAGGCTGGGTTATTAGTCCTGATGAGCATAAATTCTTCTTATTTTCAGGCAACTCGAGAATTGGGAAGCTTGTTGTTGTGCGTATTTTATGTTCCTATTTATCTGCTTTAGCATTTTTCTTTATTTCTGAATGAACCCTATTAGTCATCACTGAACAAAGAAATTTTACGATTGTATATGCATATACCAGATTTTGAAGCCTGTTCTTGTGCCTATAATATGTCCATATTTATCTATTTTAGCATTTGTGAATGAACTATATTAGTCATCAATTATAACAAAAGTTTACGATTGTATATGCATGTACCATTTTGAAACTTATTCTTGTGCCAATGTTATGTCTATTCATCTGTTTTACCCTTGTTCAATCCTAAACTTTATTACTTTTCAATTTGAATAAAATTGTAGAATAGTATTTGTATATTCCGAATATTGAAAGATGAGATGTTGTATTTATGAAAGTGTTGACATATGTTATAGAAAAGTTGTGTTATAAAGTTCAAAATATGTATTGTAACAATTGTTTTCATATGAAGTGTACAGTTGAAGTATGTTAAATATATTTGATCTGCCAACATATGCCACATGTTATAAAATGGTTGCATTAATGGTAATGCATTATAGTAGTGCAGAAGTCAATTATATGTGCATATGTTAGGTTTGCCACCAATTGTGTTCATATCTAGTGTACAGTTGCCGTATTTGAGATGTATTTGATCTGTTAACATATAACACATGTTAGGAAATGGTAGCATGTTAGAAAAAAGTTCTATTAATGGTAATTCATTATAGAAGTGTATAAGTAAATTTTTAATGGATATGTTAGGTCAAATATGTGATGTTGTATTTCTAAACTTGTTGACATATGTTATATAAAAGTTGTGGTGAGAAAGTCAAATTATATTTGACATTAATTGTTTTGACATCTAATGTATAGTTGAAATTTGTTATATGAATTTGATCTATTAACATATAGCACATGTTAGAAAATGGTTACATGAATGGTAAAACATTATAGTATTGTAGAAGTAAATTTTATGTGAATATGTTAGCTGAAAGATGTGATGTTTTATTTATGAAACTGTTGGCATATGTTATAAAAAAGTTGTGATGTAAATGTTAAATTATGTTTGCCACCAATTGTTTACATATCTAATTTAAGCTTGAATTATGTTAGATGTATTTGTTATGGAAACATATGCCACATGTTAGAAAAAAGTTCCATTAATGGTAATTCATTATAGTAGTATAGAAGTAAAATTTTAATAGATATGTTAGGTCAAATATGTGATATTGTATTTCATTTTTCCTATTCTGTCTTTTCCCCGTTTGTCACTTTGTTGGCATAACCTCACTTTTCATACCCGGAGTTAGTTTTTGACTTCACGTATCTTCATCCTTAGTGGTTTCCATAAAATACGTATCTTTACTTTTGTAAGAAAGTACTCTGGTTGCTCCTAGTGTCCATAGGGGTATGGATGTATAGTTCTTTGGAATTATTTTCTTTTCTTGGGGTGTTTTTCGTAAATATCTTTTGAATATATTTTATTTCAGGGGTTTTTAAGAAAATATTTTTGGAAGATATTTTCATTCTGGGCCATTAGTGCAGTTAACCCTTTTTGGAGGGGTCATTGTGCAATTAACGAAAGTTATTACTAAAATACCTTGTTTTGAGCCTAGATTCTCGTACGGGATTCATTTTCACATTTCGTCGAGTCGTGTACTCTTAGAATTTCGTTCTGGTCGTTTTTCTCCAGTTTCAAGATTTCTGACCCTGGTTGTCGCCAAAATTGTTCGGGGCATATCTCTCTGTTCGAGACTCAATTTTTGATACCGTTTCTTCTATTATTCATATTTTCTCATTTTAAATCTTTTTTGTTCATGGAGTTTTGTCGTTTGAGCGCGTCTGCTCAAAATTCACTTTTCCAGACCCGGCAGGGCCCTTTCGGGGCACTTTTTGAGATTTTCTATAAATAGGGGGGTTTTAAGTCAAAAAGTCAAATTTCATCATCTTCCTCCCCTCTCTTGGCCGGATTCCATGACAGCCATGGCTGCCACCTTCTCTCTCCTTCTTTGATCCACTTTTCCTTGGTGAAAAGTCTTCAGCCTTAACATTTATTGTTCCCCTCAACGTACTCTACCTTTCACCCTTATTAGAACCCATTTCTGACCATTTCTTGAGTCTGGGTTTGAAGTCAAGTTGTGATTTTCATGGGGCTTCCTTCGAATTCTTGTTCATCGTGTTATCCCCGATAAAACCCTTCGGTATCGTCGGATTCGGAGCACTTTTGTTTCGGTGGGCTTTTGAGATTTTCATCTCAAATTGAGATAGAGGGTGTTATAATTCATTTTCTTGCTATCTTGCATGCTTGTGATGCATATACAACTCATTTACATATCTTTGTACCAAATCTAGAAACTTTGATTTATTATTTCTTTGTGTAAGATTTAATTTTCCCGATTGTTCATAGTTTGTTTTAAACATATGGCATAACAGAATATTATCCCTTGACATGATCGTTGACATATATTAAATTGAGACCTTTTGGATAAGTAATGAAGCTTTTATTTAATATTTATCTTAAGTGAAAAATTAATTCATGTGGCCTTAACTAGCTTGAAATCAATGTGTGTTAGCATATTATATCAGGCCCTAGCATGCTCTTCAACAAAGGTGAATTTGAGAGTAATCGGAGATGTTTTAAAATCTAGAGAATATTTAATTAATTGATTAATTAATTTATTCCATGTGCACTATTCACTCCATTGAAATCTTGACT